GTGCATCTGCTATTTCTTGGCCTTCCTGTTCAGCTTCGTGGTGGTGGTGCCGCTGTCCGAGAACGGCCACGACTTCCGCGGCCGCTGCCTGCTCTTCACCGAGGGCATGTGGCTGAGCGCCAACCTGACGGTGCAGGAGCGCGAGCGCTTCACGGTGCAGGAGTGGGGCCCGCCGGCCGCCTGCCGCTTCAGCCTGCTCGCCAGCCTCCTCTCGCTGCTGCTCGCCGCCGCGCACGCCTGGCGCACGCTCTTCTTCCTCTGCAAAGGACACGAGGGGTAAGTGGGGGCCTCGCGGCCGCCCTGCTCCGACAGACGCAGCCCTCGCCTCTGGCACGGCGCCCATTCTGTGCCCACAGCGCCCCCAGACTCTCCTCCCCCAAGGAGGAGTGTGAGTCCTTCCACCTTCCCGGGTTCTCAGAGGCCTGAAAATAGCAACTTTGGACCCTCACCACTTTCACGCAAACTGCCCTTTGTCTACATGCAGAACCCAGGGACAATGACGATCACCCGTTCTCCGTGCAGGGCCAGTGCTTCCCTCCCCAAGTGCGCATCACCATACACGCCTCCGGTGCAAATGTTGCCCCGTCACCCCGGAGCCCACTCGGACCTCCCTGGCTGACTCCGCCGGGCCCGCGCCCGTCAGCACCGCGGACAGCTCCCACCCGGGTCGGGGCCTACTCCCACCTGCGCTGGATAGGGAGGGACCAGGCAGGCAGGTGGCTGACCACGCTTCCTGGGAATCCTCCCCTCATCCCCATCGTCCTGGGAAGGGTGACGGAGGAGGAAAGCCAGAGGGAAGCCCCTCGAGGCCCACCTCTAGCTCTCACGCCTGTGGGGGATGCGGGACAGGGAGCAGCAGGTGTGTGAAGTCCTGTCCTGTCCTTTCCTCACAAGCCTCCCTTCCTCCTGGCCTCCATTTTCCTCGCCTGGCGCTAGTTCGTGAGAGAGTGGGATGTGGTTCCCTGAGGCGGGGTCCTCAGCCAGTAGTGCTCCATGGGCTTCCACCCCCGTGGGACCCTCTGTGGCCCCACCCATGCCCGGGCAGTGGATCGCTGTATCCTGCGGCAGCCAAGGCTCCTGCAGAGGTCCTGGGAGGCTATTCTTGCCTGTCACCTGCCCTCACATCCACATGGGAAGTCCAGGCCTTCTCCCAGACTCAGCCCCACTCTCACCCCCATCCATCAGCTATTGGCAGTCTTTAGTGGCTTTCCCCTCCTCTCAGGGAGGCAGGAGGGCTCCGAGGGTGTGGGGAGGCAGGGCCTCCTGAGAGCTCTCAGCTTGGCTCTGGCCCAGTGGAAAGAGGGTCTGGAGAGAGGAAGGGAGCTGCAGACTGAAGAGGAGAGGCACAGCCAAGGCTGTGCGGGGTTGGGGGCCTGGGGCAGACCCCGCGAGGAGGGGCGAAGCCCCAGCAACCCACACGAACAGGCTTCTTGGTCTCCTGTAACACAGCGCTGCAAGCTGGCGGCTTAAAGCAATGTATTCTCTCGCAGTTCTGAGGCCAGAAATCCAAAGTCAAGGTGTGGGCAGGACTGGTTCTCTCTGGAGGGAGAATCCCTTCCAGGCATCTTCCTAACCTCCAGAGGCTGCCTGCAGCCCTTGCTCCTCGGCTGGGGCCTTTATCACTCCGATCTCTGTCTCTGTCTTCACGTGGCCTCTCCTCTGTCCTTCCTTTTCTTCTCATAAGGACACCAGTCACTAGATTTCGGGCTCACCCTAAATCCTGAGTGACCTCGTCCTGAGATCTGTAGCTTAATGACACCTGCAAAGACCCTATTCCAAGTAAGTTCTCATTCCCAGGTTAGTGTGAGAATGGGGGTGAAGACTTGGTGGGTGCCATTCAACCCACTGCACTGAGGTTCCAGACTGGGGGTCTGCAGAAGCCACGTGTCAGCCCAGGGAGGCCTCAGGTGCTATGGAGCAGGAGGTCTGCCCGGGGTGAGCCTGATGGCTGGTGTCCTGCGGGACCGTCATCGGCACCCATATTGCCAAGAACAGGCGTTACCCAGGCAGTGTCTGCAGCACAGACCAGCCTGGAGAAGCATCTCTGATTACCAGGCAGGGTCTGAGGGAGAGGAGGGACAGCCAGCAGGTGGGGTGGGATGACAGCCCTGCAGTCTGGGAAGCTGAGGGGGGTGGGCACAGGCCTTGTGGGGGCCATGGTTTGGCCATCAGCTCATGTCCACCATGCCAGTTTGTTCCTACAAGACAAGTGGCCTCAAGGCGTTCAGGGTCTGCCTAGCATACCTGGCAAGGATGCAGAAGCAGCTCTCTAGGTGAGGCCCAGCTCTCTAGGTGAGGCCCAGCCCTTGTGGCTGTGAGCAATGTGAGATTTCAGAGAGGCCACCAGAGGCTGGGAGCAGGCTAGGGGGAGCTAAGAGTCCCAGAGCCTTCAGGAAAGGAGTCCTGGACACATAGGGCCATCCATTTCACACAAATTGGGCAGCAGACCTAGGGACAGCTTCTGTCCTTTCATCTCACCGGAGCTGCCATCAGCTCTGTGAAACCATCCCCATCTCCATTTCACAGATAGAAAGCTGAGGCTTGGGAGTGTTCATGCCTCCTGTGCCCATTCCCTTGTTAGGAGAAACTTTCTGGTCTTCTGTCCTTCTGCATCCGTACCAGGGGCTCACATGTCCCACCACTGATGGCTGCTGTCCAGCTTCCATCATGGCAGCCAACATGGGGCCAGCCTTCTCCTCCCCAGGGACATCTGCTTCTGAATGTCCTTCTTGGTCATCAGAATTACTGGCCAGGACCACATGATGGTGCAGCTGCCTGCCCCCCACCTTGTCCACCACACAATCCAGTTGGCAGTCAATCAGCTGTGATGACATCTGTTCAAAGTGTCATCCCTTCATCTTAGTTCTGGTGGTAGGACCAGGTCATCCCCTTGTGGCTATCCATCTGTGGGGACCCTGGGTGGATGTACTCCTTATTCACCCTGTATGCTCAAGGCATGCACAGGGCATGGTGCACAGGAGTCACCAAATTAGCGATTGTTGAATGACTGACAGAAAGATTCCTGCATCCTGCTTCACAGAGCCTCTCCTGGCGCTTTGCAGATTCACTGTCTGGCCGAGGGGTCAGCCCTCTGGGCTTGCGATGTCAGCCAGCCACCAGCAGGATGATCAGCTGAGGGCAGCCAATTCCCGTCCTATTGTTGGTCAAGCTGTATAGACCAGGCAGGCAGGCGCCAGGTCAGTGAGGGGACTCGGGACAGCAGGAGGCTGGGGAGCGCCGGCAGAGAGAGCCCGTGTGATGGAAAGGGCTCTCAGGGCCACTGAGGGCCACTGGATGCTCAACCCACGGAAGACATCACTGCCCTTGTCAGACTTGGGTTTTTAGAGGGCCCTGCCTGTGTGCAACTAACTTCAGAGCCCATCTGGGACCCTCACCGAGACCACGGGTGGAGCCCTACTCTTCCTCATGGCTGAGTCTCGAGCTCGTGTGTCAGGCACTGTCCATGGTGCCAGCTCCCTCCTTGTGCAGGGCGTGTCCCTGAACAGAGTGGGGGCCCTGATGGCTTGTGCCCGGCGGTGTGAAGGGCTTTTCGCCCAGGGGGGACATCATCCTGGTTGCTGACTGGGGAGTCAGTGGCACCTGTGGCTTCCTGGGGTGCTGGCCGTTTCTGGCCATGGAGAAATGAGGGGGAGTCTCAGGGATGGGGGCCCGGGGACCTGGGGGCCTGGGCAGCTTGGCTGTCCAGGTGGCAGTGGTTTGTGATTGATGGCTGGGGAGCACTGGGTTAAAACAACCCATCTGCGTGCCCACACGTGTCCCTCTGCCTGCAAATCGCTCCCAGGGCTTCCCAGGATCCCTGTCGCCATGGAGACGGCACATCCAGGCAGGGCACCCTGAGAAGTGACAGGAGGAAGATGGAGTTAACCCTGTGTGTGCCGGGCTCCCATTCCTGATGGCTGCCCTGGCCTGTCCTCCGGGAGGGAGGGAACGGAAGTGGTGTAGTGAACTCTGGAGGCCCGGGGCCAAATGAGGCTCTGCACACACCCAGTTCTTCAAAACTCTGCAAAGCCCAAGCAGATGCCCAGGAAACTGACCAAAACCAACGAGATGAGGAGGAGGCTGTGAGATGCTGGTGACCCCAGGACGGTGCCCCTCGCATCTCGTGGGATAGAGACCCACAAATTGTGCCCATTTAATAGGCATGCGGCAGGACTGTCTGGGGCTTCCAGCTCTCAGAGGCTGTGTTGCAAACCTTCTCTGGAGATGGGCAGGAGCAGCTTTGCAGCAGGCCCACCGTGACCCAGGCCTTCCGTGCTGGGGTCCCCTGAGGGAGCTTCCATCCACGTAGGGAATGAGGAGTCCTGCGTGCGCCTCTGGAATTCGGGACAGAATGTGACAGCTGCAGCCCCTCCCCTAGAAGAGGGAGCAGGACCTGGCCCGGTGTGGTCGGCCTGCCCACTGCTCTCTGCTCCCTGACCATCCCTCCCCCAGGAGGCCTGATGGGGACAGGATGCTTGAGGGCACGGCAGAGGGCTGCCAGCAGCTGGAGGGCACCCAGGGAACCGGCTGAACTTCTGTGCCAAGAGCCACCTGCTTCTTTGCTCTGTCTGTGGAAGCTAGTCTCTCCCACTCCGTCCGACTCCCACGGACCGCTGTGCTCTCTGACTGGAGACAAGTGTCCATCACAGAGGAAGGTGCCGGGGTGTAGGCTCTGGGTAACCTCTGTTTCCTCGGGGCACCAGCTCCTGGGAAGTGGGGCTCCGGGGGACTGGGCCTTCCCGCAACCCTGAGCCCCGCTGGGCCTCACGCTGCCCCACAGGGGGCACAGCTGGCCCCAATCCAGCCTCCAAGTCTGGTCCTGAGTGACTCAGCACGCCCTCCGACCTGACG